GTGAGACTCCTCCGGTTCTCCCGGGATGTGGTTCCCCCCCAGTCTCCCGTGTCCCTGAGACTCCGGTTCCCCTGGGATGTGGTTCCCCCCCAGCCTCCCGTGTCTGTGAGACTCCGGTTCCCCTGGGATGTGGTTCCCCCCCAGCCTCCCGTGTCCGTGAGACTCCGGTTCCACCGGGATGTGGTTCCCCCCCAGCCTGCTGTGACTGCCACCCCTTCCACGTGCCGCCCCTGCAGCCCTCCACTTAGATGCTTCTGGGTAGCCGAGCTCTCCCTGAGTCCTGGCATTTCCCAGTGAACTCTGCTTTCAGTTTTGCTGTTACTGTGCAGGTGAATGACTGGCAGGAGGACTGGGTTGTGTTCTTTGCCAGGCAGCGCATTCAGCCCCAGATGGACATGGTGGAGAAGGAGTCTGGGGACAGGGAGGCCCTCCAGCTTTGGTCTGCTCTGCAGGTGAGCGGGGCCCCACCGCACGCCCAACACCTGCCACACGCCCCACTCGCCTGAGGTGGGGAGGCGCCAAGGCATGTGAGGCTACCTCGGAGTCTGGTTCTGGATGGGAGGTGGGTGCCTGGTGGTGTCCCACCTGCTGCTACCTGGGGTAGGGGCGGGTGTGTGGAGCGGTGCTTAGGGAAACCTCAGCACCCCTCATGCACGCTGTGATCAGTTGGCTGAGGCTCCACTTTCCTCCCTGCAGTTTAAGATCCCTGACCTGTTCCACAACCTGGAGATCACCCCAGCCTTACTCCACGGAGACCTCTGGGGCGGAAACGTAGCAGAGGACGCCTCCGGGCCGGTCATTTTTGACCCAGCTTCTTTCTATGGCCACTCGGAATATGAGCTGGCCATCGCCGGCATGTTTGGGGGCTTCAGCAGCTCCTTTTATTCTGCCTACCACGGCAAGATCCCCAGGGCCCCGGGGTTCGAGAAGCGACTTCAGTTGTATCAGCTCTTTCACTACTTGAACCACTGGAATCATTTTGGATCGGGGTACAGAGGATCCTCCCTGAACATCATGAGGAATCTCGTCAAGTGAGTGTGCTTTGCTCTGGAGGAGGTCTCAGAGGTTTCTCCACAGTCCTCTTTAGGATAAAACTCTTGTTTTTTCACGTGGCCAGAGTAGCTTAAGACCAACTCAGTAACTTATTTCCAAGCCTTGCAAAGTATAGAATATCTCCGAAGAAAGGTTTTGTCATTACAACTTTGTGGGGTTTGTAGGTAGACGGAGCCATGCTAGAGGCAGGGTGTGAACCGAGGAATGAAGCAAGGTGGCTCTGAACCACACTTCCGCTCTGAGGTGGAGAGACTAAGTGATCTCAGGTGGGTGCCAGGGAGGATCCAGTGTGTGGGGTGGTGGTCAGCGCGCCCGGGCGCCGCTGCTCAGAGGGCACCTTTCCACCACCTCCTCCCTGCTCTCCTGTGCAGGAACGTCTCAGAGCTGTTCATGTTGATGATGCTTGGTTGGCAAGACTTGGGTCTAGACATGAAACCATGTTACTAAAAGCTTCTTAAAATGACCAGTTCCAAAATCAGGCACATTCCTCTTCTTCCTGCACGATCCCTGGACCCTGCTGCAGGCTGAGCAGGCCTGGAAACCGATTCTGGGAGTGACCAAGCTGCTGGCCTTAGGGTGTCCTTGGGTAAATACAGGAGCCTTACCTGCTTCTATCATTACTCCATCTTCTCTGTCATTTCCAAAGCTTGCTAAGTTGTCATTCCTTTGCAACTTTACACACTGAGCGAATATTTTTCCCTCCTTCAGTATTGTAGTGTTGAGAAATATTTCATGAATGACATTGATGCTAATAGATCGCTTTGCATAAAAATTTGAATAAACTTTCAGTGTTTTCAATAATGTACAAGATTGTATATTTCCTTCATTTATTGTAATTCAATAAATTCTTAGTTGTTTGCTTAAAAACTTTTGTAATATTTTGTGACAATAAACAGATAAAAGTAGTGTTTTTGTTTTGTTTTTAGAGACAGGGTCTTGCCCTGTTGCCTAGGCTGGAGTGCAGTGGCGTGATCATAGTGCATTGCAGCCTCAAACTCCCAGGGTCAAGCAATCCTCCCATCTCAGCTTCTTGAGTAGCTGGAACTGCAGGCGTGAACCACCACACCTAGCTAATTTTTGTATTTTTAGTAGAGACGAGGTTCTGCCGTGTTGCCCAGGCTGGTCTCAAACTCCTGACCTCAGGTGATTCACCCGCCTCGACCTCCCAAAGTGCTGGGATTACAGGCCGGAGCCACCACGCCTGACCCAACTGTTACTTGTTTCATTTTTTTTTCTCTTTTTAAAATTTTTTTACCTTTTTTTTTTTTTTTTT